TTTTAGAAACAGCAGGCAAAACTGGAATGGGCCTGTAGTTATTGACATCATCCACTCCTCCAACCTTGTGCAATGGAATCACTAAAGATTTTTTGAGATAAGACGGAAAAATACCCTTTTGGAAGCAGAGATTATTCAAATGACTTATCACAGGAACTACGAGGGATTTAGAAAACTTGAGAAACTAAGTAGAGATATTATCCCAGCCAGGCGCACTATTAGACTTAAGATAGGATAAGAGGATATTTTCAATTTCCAGTGGATCAGTTTTTAATAAGGCAAATGATGATAAATGTGATTTAAGCCTATGTAGACTGTCAGGTTCGAGAGAGTTGTCATATTTTGGATATCCTCAGCAAGCTTTCTACCGATGTTTGAAAAGTAGTCGTTAACATGGTTAACTGAATCTGACTAACTGAATTTAATTTATTATTTAGTAAAACAGAATTTATGGTCTTATTAGGTTTTATATTTGTTATTTATTTAATTGATTTCCAAAGTATTTTTGAATTCTTATTTGCTTTATTTAATTGTTCTATCTCATATTTTATTTTAAGTTTTTTAGTAGGTTGTTACAGAAATTTCTGTATCTTTTATAGGTAAAGTAAAGTAAAGTAAAGTTACAGCCTATATACGTCCCACTGCTGGGCACAGGCCTCCTCTCATTTCTGACAGGGTTTTAGGGCAATGAATAGTCCGCCGCGCTGCCCCAATGCGTGTTGGCGAACTTCACATATCTTCGAAATATTTTTTATTTTATTTCTCAGACATGCAGGTTTCCTCACGATGTTTTCCTTCACCGCCGAGCACGCGGTAAATCAGCACTTAAAATTGCAATTAACAATTTCATTGGTGCCGGCGGGGATCGAACTCGGTTTGCTCGCGTATTGTGAAATTTACAGCGAGCGCGAACCATCTGAGCTACCACGGCTCTTTTATAGGTAATTACAAAAATTACATTGAGAGGATCCGAACGCATTTGCATTTGCATTTTATTTCTGTTTCTAATACACCTCAAAATACCAGGTGTAATCCAAGGTTTAATGGTGCGTTGTGATTTTGGCTTTCTTTTTGTAATTTTACTCTCTGCTAAGGACCCAGATAAGCTTTTTATAAGTTTTTGGGCAACTAAATTCGGGTCTTCACAAAATAATAATGTAATTAACTTCACAAAATAATATTCTTCTGCATTAATATTGAGAGCGCTCTTTGTAGTCTACAAATTCTACTGTTTTCGATACACTTTGCTTTTGTTTTATTTTACTTAATTTCAAAAAAAATGTTGAATAATCAGTAGTATTTGTATTTAAGATCGCTATACGCGAAGAAAATTTTCTTTTGTCTAATTTTAACATAAAATGGTGGTTCCATGAGTTGACAACATATTCAAATAATTATCCCTATTATTAGTTTTATTCGATCCTTCGTTTTGCTTAGGAATTGGGTTTATATTAATATCACCCGTTATTATTATGTTACGACATGGTTTTATTGTGTCCAAGTAAGAACTAATAGAGTCGATAAAGTTTGTCGCATTTGGATTCGACGGAGAACGATAAATACATAAAATTGTATGGTCAAAAATATTTATCTGTATGCCTTAAGATTATTTTGACATAAACCACTAAACCATCATTTTGATTTAGATTAAGTTTTGTTGCAAGTGATGTATAGTTAGATAAATGACGTAGCGGTCTGTCTAAGCTAAGTCTACATACGGTTATCATAAGAACATTAACTTCAAAATTAAGTTGCGATAGTGAAGATTCAAAGTCATCAATATTTTTGTAAATACTACGAATATTTTTGCATAGTGTTGCGCGGCTAAGTTGACATCTGGCACTAGCGCCATCTAGTGTCGGGTAACGGAGCGAGGGGAGAGCTTTCCAGAAAATGACATCACTAATCTTTCAACCGACAGCGCCATCTGTTGTCGAAACGAAGAACTAAGCTTCTGGAAGCTGACTCTCGAATTTTCGGCACTTTGTCGATTGGTGCGCGTATTTACTTGAATGTTCTGGATGATTCGGTACTAATGTGTATTTATAGGCGCTGCAAGGTGCGATCGGGGAAGTATTGAATTTGCCGAGACAAGCAAAGCTTCGGAGCGAAATAAAGAGAATCAGATTGATTAATTATTAGTGTTTTAAGTTTACATTTGTGTAAAGAAAATTAAAGTGTTAATTTAGGTAATTTTATCGGCAATTTTTATTGTCACGAACCTAAAGCTCGTAACAATTGGTGTCAGAAGTGGGATAAAATCATGCCGATTTTACCTAAGGAGGAAACGGAGGGTGTCCGTACCCGCAGTCAACGCCAGCATGAGACGGACCAGAGGAGATTTGGTGGTGCAACACCGCAGACGTTGGAGGGCCAACTGCCAGCCACGGAAGCTGCGGGCCCGTCAGTAGCTCCTACATCTGCAGCACCTCACTTAGGTGCTCTGATGGCGATGCTACAGGAGCAGCTGCAGCGCGGAGGAGAGGAACAGGCCCGTCTGTTGAAAGAGCAGCAGGAGGAACAGGCTCGCCGACAGGAGGAACAAGCTCGCCGACAGGAGGAACAGGCTCGCCGACAGGAGGAACAGGTCCGTCAGTTGAAAGAGCAGCTGCAGAGCGGACAGGATGAACAGGCCCGTCGGTTGGAAGAGCAAATGCTCCTCATGAAGGACCATCACGCTACCTTTGGGAAGGAGATAAACGAGGTGAAGGATAGGGTTGCTCAGCATGATAACCGTCTGTCGGAAGCTGAAACCCAAATCGCGAAAGCTGAAACCCGAATCGAGAAAGCTGAAACCCGAATCGACCAAGTGAACAATCGGGTTGACAACGTGGTGGCTGACATGAAGAAATCACTGGACGAACTCAAACTGAGGGATGCAATTACAGCTCCCGTAGTAGCTGCAACACCTTCGCTACGTGGGTTCAAGGTGCCACCGTTCGACGGGACTTCTTCCTGGTCGGCCTACAAAATCCATTTTGAAGCGGTTATGAAGGCGAACGGCTGGAATAAAAGTCAGGCCATGACTGCTCTCACACTAGGCCTGCGCGACCAGGCATTAACAGTTCTGGAAGCTCTCGGTGAGGAAGTGACTTATGAGCCTTGAGGCACTGTAGTCGAGATATGGCGACGCTCACCTGGAACACGGCTATCGTGCGCAGCTTAAAGATCGCGTGCAGCGCATCAACGAAAACCTGCAGCAGTGGGCTCTAGAGGTGGAGAGTCTGGTGCGAAAATCATACCGGTCTGTACATGTGCTCATTGAAGGGAACCTGGTGCAGACATTCATCGACGGCATCCGCGACCTGGAAGTCAGAGCTGCTGTGAGGCTCGGGCACCACGAGACGCTTAAGAACGCCTTGGTCCATGCACTGGAGGTGGAGGCCGTGCGACAGGATCGTCGTTCCCCTCGCGCTAGGGAGGTTGCAGCAGTTACGGTTCGCGACCACAATAAAGGATACAGCCTTAGGTGCTATGGCTGTGGGGAAAGGGACCATCTTCGATCCAGCTGCCCTAAACGAAACCTAGAAAGGGAAGGTGAACGATCTCAGAAGGGAAGTGCGGCTAACATCACCGCCCAGCAGCAGCCGGGATACGACTTTACTATCAGATATCGCAGCGGGAAATCTCATGGCAACGCAGATGCATTCTCAAGAAGACCTTGTCGTGAAGATTGGAAACATTGTACTAGGCAAAAGAGTAAGGAAGTGGTATCCGTGAGGATGCTCAGGAATGACCACCTCAGCAACGAGTGGAAGGACAGCCTACGACATGCACAGCAGGGACGAAGCCGATTCTGGAATGGATGAAGGCCCGTGCTACCAAGCCTAAGTGGAGCGACGTCTCAGCGATGAGTTCGATCAATAGAGGCTATTGGGCCCAGTGGGACGGCTTGCTGATTCAGCATGGAGTCCTGTGCCGTAAATGGGACAATCAATGATCGAGGAGACAGCTGTCGTTTGCAAATGGTTGTCCCTAAGGCTAAAGTGCCGAATGTTCTACAGCTGTGCCATAATGGTCGTTCAAGAGTCCACCTGGGAGTTAAACGAACTCTGCTGAAGGTCCGAGAAAAGTTTTACTGGGTCCATTATCGTGACGATGTCGAGGCTTGGTGTCGTAAATGTATAAGTTGTGCGGCCTGAGGGGACCTCAGACACGTAGTAGAGGAGCACCGAAATTCTACAATGTTGGTGCACCATGGGATAGGACAACCCTTGACATTGCGGAGCCGTTACAGAAAGGCGCAAGAGGGACTCCTAAGGTCGTCCATGTGGATCGCCTGGCGCGTTATTATGGGGCCGATAATGCTCGGGACGAACATGTCTTAGGAGGGGGCAGTGTTGCGCGGCTAAGTTGACATCTGGCACTAGCGCCATCTAGTGTCGGGTAACGGAGCGAGGGGAGAGCTTTCCAGAAAATGACATCACTAATCTTTCAACCGACAGCGCCATCTGTATTCGAAACGAAGAACTAAGCTTCTGGAAGCTGACTCTCGAACTTTCGGCGCTTTGTCGATTGGTGCGCGTATTTACTTGAATGTTCTGGATGATTCGGTACTAATGTGTATTTATAGGCGCTGCAAGGTGCGATCGGGGAAGTATTGAATTTGGCGAGACAAGCGAAGCTTCGGAGCGAAATAAAGTGAATCAGTGTGATTAATTATTAGTTTTTTTAAGTTTAAATTTGTTAAACTTAAAAAAACTAAAATTAAAGTGTTACTTTAATTTTCTTTACACAAATTTTTTACAAAATTTTTTTTACAAAATTTAGGTAATTTTATCGTTTAATTTTTATTGTCACGAACCCCAAGCTCGTAACAATTTTAAGGTTAAGTCATTTTTGAAAACATTTATATATTTAGTTAAATCCTGTATATCACATTGAATAGAGTTCTCTATTTTTGAATCGTCCAATTCTTTTATAATAGAAAATGTACTGTTCATTCTACTTTTATAAAATATTAAAATGCATTAGCAATTTGGTTATAGAGTTTGTTGAATATGATAAACAATTTATTAGAGGGTAAGAGGTTTGCGAAGTGATTAGCTCGATGTGTATATTTAAAATAATTAATAGTTTTTATATTTGTATACTATATATGTTATATTTTTATATATGCAACGTAATGTGCAGGTGGGTAGGGTGACATAAGAACGTAAGAAAAGTAGAAATAGTCACAGTAGTCTGTGTATTCTCGAACTGTTTGTTAAGATATGACTGTGTTGTATTACTGGAAGATGAATGTGTGAAAGTGTGTCTGAGTGATTGCTTTTTTACACTTGTATGGTGAACAATTAAAAACAAAAAATAAATATACTAAAACATGATAGAGCTTACTCTAATATAAATGAAGAGATTGCATGTATATTTTAGAACGGCTTTTAGTCAGGTGTCTATCTTCAGCTACTGGATTTGCGATTCATTTTTAATTACATTTGAAGTTATCGTCTTTACTCAAATATACCTTCCCGTAAGATGTCCATCAAAATTTAAACGAATATTTCTTGCTAAGGTCGCGTGCAAGAAAATAGAGTTGGGCAGCATTAGCTGTTAACTGCTCTGATACAAAGATAGGGTTATTTTCTACACCTGAAGACTTAAGTCCTAAATGATGAGTACTGAGTTTTGATTTGTTATTTTTTTATTGAACTCCTTACATTTTTTCAAAAAATCATTTTTTTATGTTGTAGATGATGTCTTCACAATGATAGGAGTATTCTTAATATCTTCTCTTTTTCCACGGACTCGACAATAATATCTAAACTTACCATTTGGCAGCCGATAGTGTTGGATAGACTTAAAACCATTTCAATAAGGTTTGTTTTATTCTCGTCGTTCTTTCTTGGGACGTTCTTGATTTCCGAGTTTGTTTTACGTTTATCTTTTTGCATGTCCTCTATTTTGTCTTCCAAAACAGCTATGTAGTTCCTGTCCTCATTAATTTGTCCTTCTAGCTTAGTGATCCTTTCTTGAAATTCCTTATTTTGTTCTGTCAAAAAAGTAATATAATTTTCGATATTTTGGTTAGTTTTTTGGATTTCTTTGAGAATGCTTGCATTTTTTTTAAATTCAAGATTTTGAGAACTCATGAGCGATAGGAACATGTTTTTCATTTCTTCTTTTAAATTAGCCAGTTCCAAAGTGTAATGATCTTCATCTCTTCTTCTCTTTTTCCGGGCAGTTAAAAAGTTTGGAGGGGTTGTTTGATGTGCAATTTCCACTTCTGTACTTGACAACGATTTACTCATGGTATCCATTTGCTCAAGATTAGGAGACTATAAGTGAATAGGAGTTAGTTATACTCTTCAATACGTAGTCGCAAAATGGTGCAAAAAAGAGTGCGGCAGCAATGTCCTATGACAAGCAAGGGGTGGAGTCACGTTTGAGTGGATAAGGAGGTTTTACTCACAGTTTTGCTCACCACTACCGCTTTCTGCACTCCTATTTTTTTTCTCGAACTCATAAAAAGATCAACCCGCATTATCGGTTAAATGCAAATCAAGACTTTCAGCGTGGTGAGATTTAAAATCACCAAGCATTACGATTTCTGCGGTTGAGACCTGTTGTAGCACGGAATCTACAGTTAGTTATTTGGGTGTGGCGTGGGACCTATAGAGGCACTCGTAGATGCGGAGATGGTCGTAGCTTTCTACGCGCAGCCATAAGATGGACATGTGAGTACCTTCAAGGCCACCGGTGGTATCAAGAACAGATGTCCTCTCTGATATACACGCAAACTCTAGCCCGGGAATACAAAGGAGTGTTCTAATTTGTACCCAGGTTGGAGTGATACGAAGTATCAGCCAGAGAGGACACCTATGTCTCGGTTAGAAAGAGCAAGGCTGGCTTCGCCGTTTCCAGATGGTAGTGGACGGCGTTCAGGTTTTAATGAAGTTCACGGATATTGTGGCAGGTGGCGCCTTTAACTTATTGCTCCATTTGCAACTAGCAAATTTAGTCTCAAGCGGAATTCCTCCCCCCTCCCCAGAATACCCTGGATAGCCGGAGCATCCACGCTCAAGAAGAGTAGGGTAGCTTGGGCGTGGATGCTTAGCGAGGGATTCTCCGTCAGCGGGGGTGCTGGTATCCTCGTGGGGTAGTGTTTTATTTAACTCCGCTACCATGTTAAGGAGGGGGAAGGGGAACAGGGCCTCCGGCCACTTGCACTCACCAAACGAAATAAAGAAGCAGCGCTTCTACTTCACGCTGATCTTCTGTGAGGTCGTGGTACCACCCCGGTACCATACGTGCAACAGCAAAGACTGCTGCGTAGCTCTACCACTGTTAAATCCTTGATTAAGATTCAAAGTGCAGATGCGTTGTCAGCCCGCAGGACTAAGATGGAATGTCCTGTTTCCAGTGATAAGGATACCCCGTTTTCTACACTCACCATAAGAATTACTGTAGCATTAACCTGCCATTTTACGTACGTATTCTGTGAGAACGTGATGCTACCCCGGTGGAGCCGACCCGTTTGTAGTTCAGCCATAATATAGGTAAATAACAAAAATGCTTGACTTTAGCGTCACCTAATAATTTTTTTAAAGAAAATATGTTTTTTTTAATTAAGTGCTAGCAGCTATGCAGGTCTAGGGAAAGAGACCAGTATCATTGCGACCTAGGAGATCTGCTGAGCTAATGGCTATAGTTCACGGCTAAGCCCTATGTCTTCAATGAATAGAAGGAGTTGCTTAGCCGTGAGCAATTTCACTTCTTCTGGGCGGAGTACATAGTTTCCCAGATGAGTGTTACGTTTGCGCATTAAGGGTCCGCAGTCAGTTGGGATGTGTAGAGGCGTTTCTTCCGTTATGGAACAGAACCGACACATTCTTGAGTAGCTTAGTCCCAGGATGGACATGTGATTTTTAAGACAACAGTGTCCAGTTAGGGCTCTTCCCAGAATGCGCAATTTATTTTTACTTAATCCCAGGGCTTCTGAAGCGAATTTACGATCAAAAGCCTGGATTAAGGTTTTAGAATTTTTTTAACCTGGTGTAAAGTGATTTATTGTGATAAAGAGTTTCAAGGGTCAATCGGGCTAGGCTTATTGGGATTCCACAAAATGGCTCAGGTCCAAATTGTGTGCACTTTGAGCCCTCCCGTGCAAGTTTGTTGGCAAATTCGTTGCCTACAATACCCTCGTGACCCGGAACCCATCTTAAAACGACCCTGTTGTTACATCCCAGGGTGTTTAAACGGTTCATGCAGTCTCCAACTAGCTTCGAGTTCACTAAGTTTGACCTCAGCGCTAGCAGTGCTGCTTGACTATCAGAGTTTATGTAAATTATATGGTTGACGTAGTATTTTTGCAGATTGATTTCCGCACACCGAAGTATGGCGAAAATAGAATATCTCTATGAAAGATAAAGGTGTACCCAAATTTATGCTAAGTTTGAATTTGGGGCGTTCCCCGTAAATACCAGCCTACGTCGAGGACCATTTTAGACCCATCGGTATACCATATGAGGCTACCGACCTCACAGATAACCTGGTCATTCAGCCAGTCTTCTCTGGAGGGTAATTCCACTATATATTTTTATTAAAAATGTGTAGTGGACGCATGATATCTGAGATCATGCATAAGATCGGTGATTCGTTTATTGAGTCGCGCATACGCTTACGTGCGCACGTGTGTGTTGTTGTAGACTATTTAGTCTGTCCGCAGTCGTCTTTTGGTTGGAGTTCCACGTTAGTTTTTGGTCGATTGTTACGCCCAAGTACTTAACTTCCGTGGAATATAATACTTCTTTACCATTAAGTTTTGGTTGGACTAACTTGTCCAACCGTCTTTTTTTGAAAAAGGGTATTATAACAGTTTTATCAGTATTAACTGTTAAACTGTTATCCCTACACCAGTTATTTATGGTGTTTAGGGCTCTTTGTATTATTGACGATAAAGTACTTTGGCAAAAGCCCCTCACAATGATCACAAGGTTATCAGCATAACCCAGTGTGTCAATGCGTAGGTCTGCCATTTTGTACAATAGTTGGTCAACCGCAAGAGTCCAAAGAAGGGGTGACAAAACACCTCCTTGTGGGCCCTCAATCGAAGTTTGAAACAGCGCTATTTTTTTCTTTCTGTATGAGAGCATCGACTTCACCCATCTGTTGGTTGTGGGGTCAACATTTTTAGATGTTAGGCCCCCAATCAGCAGTGTTGTGAAGCTACTGTCGAAGGCGCCCTCAATATCTAGAAAGGCACAAAATGCTATTTCTTTAACCTCCAGTGCTTTTTCGACCCTGTCAATAACACTGATCAGGGCTGTTTCCGTAGATTTGCCTCTGCGGTAAGCACGCTGGTTGTAATGTATGGGCATCGTAGCTAGAGCTACATCCCTTATATATCTATCTATAACCTTTCCCAATGTCTTAAGGATAAAGGAATATAGGCTTATAGGTCGAAAGGACTTTGGTAAAGCGTAGTCCTTTCTACCAGCCTTAGGTATAAATAGAAATTTGGCAATTGTCCATCGTTCTGGAATATATCCCCAGGCAAAACTTGCTCCGAAGATTTTTACCAGATAGGGAAGAAGGATATCAATACCCATCTGCAGTTGGATGGGAATTATTCCATCCCCCCGATTGTTTTAAATGATTTAAAGGAGTCAACAGCCCATTGCACCAGGTTTGGCCTTATTATCTTTGCAGCCCTACACCAGTCCTCATTACAAGGCCTTCGTAGGGCTCTGAAAGAATTTAAGGCTGAGGTCTTGAGTGACCCTGGGAAATGGGTTGACGCTAGTAACTCCAATGTTTTTGTTTCACTATTAGTGAAGTTACTATCACGCTTTTTAAGAAGCCCGATCTGGTTAGGATTCGCTTTCGATAGCATTTTGTGTAGTCTTGCACTGCGAGGCAAAGACTCAACTTCCTCGCATAGCTTCCTCCAAGATGCTCTCTTAGCTTTCCTGATTTCTTTATCATATTCGGTTAGGGCTGCACTATAAATATTAAATATCCCACTCTTTGGTTTTCTTAGCCCTATTAAATAGTTTCCCGGTCTTTTCTCTAAGTTATTTCAG